TTCTTCCCCAAGGATGGCGCACATCCACCACCCCGGATCGGCGGCCTTCCCCTTCTTTCGCAAGGACGGCACACCTCCACCACCCTAGATCCGGCACCACCACCACGGATCCAGCGGCCTTCCCCTTCTTCCCCAAGGACGGCGCACCTCCACCACCCCGGATCTGGTTGGTGATGATGTGGAGGGGGGTGCCACCTCCTCCTTGTGCCGGATCCGGTGGAGGGTGGTGGGCGACAGTGGAGGGCGAGCGCAGATCTAGCCGGTCCCCTCCACCTCCATCTCCATCTGCGGCGCACCTCCACCTCCGGCCGGCACCTTCCCTCCAGAGCCCGACGGCACTCCTATCCTCTTGAGCACGACGGTGCCCCTCTCCATCACGGCGCAGGGAGGCTGGACCCGGTCGGCGGCAACGCGCGGGACCGGGCTCGGTGGGCTACCGGGCTCAATGGGCTTTTTTATTTTCTGAAATTATTTACGGAGGCGGGCTAGTTAATCAACCGTCTCCGTTAATAACATTAACCGAGGCGGTTGCCTTACGCTGCCCGCCTCGGTTAATCGATTAACCTAGGCAGTTGGCCAATCGCCTCCGTTAAGGCACGATTAACCGTGACCTTTCATCGGAGGCGGTTGGAAAAAACGCCTCAGTTAATCAAAAATGCCCGCCTCGGTTAAGTTTTCTATAGTAGTGCTAGCTGAAGCAGTGGGGTGCCCGCGACATGGTGCGGAAGGGGATACAGAACACGTCTGACAGCCTCGCGGTGGTGGCCGGCCTCATCGTCACCGCCGCGTTCGCCGCCGGGTTCAACTTGCCCGGTGGGTACAGCCACGACGTACGGCAAGGCGAACCTTAAGGACGAGACTGTCTTCAAGAGCTTCCTGCTCTTGAACACCGGGCCGTGGCAACGTCCGTCGTGGCGGTGATCGTGCTCGTCTATCGGAAGGCGTCGCGCTCTGCCGGCTCGTGGAAGTGCTTCGCGGCGGCGCTGCACCTCTTGTGGGTGCCGCTCGTCTGCATGATGCTGGCCTTCCAGGCGGCTCTGCTCTCCGTGGCGACCACGAGGGCACCCAGTTACGGGTTCGTGGGTGTATACACGTGCATCCTCTTGTCTTTCAAGTATGCATCGCAGAGTGGCTGGGGCCTGCAACGAGGTTGCGCACGATTTGGAGGTTTCACTGGAAAGGAAGAAGGCATGTCGACGTCAAACGACAGTATCCGTTCGCCAAAGGTACCGTACTCAATTTACAACTTTTTACAGCTACAAGTTTCCTAGTTTCTATAGGCTTTCAATTCATCTTTTTATTAAAACGGAGATCCATGGACACCTCAATTGCTCCATCACCATCTGCTCTTTATTATTAGAGGGGAAAATGCCATCTGGGGAGTTCGGTACTCACGTTGCAAGACTATGAGCCTATGGCTCATCAAATTATTGAACTTGATGTATTCTTATTTGATCCAAAGAAAAGCAAAAATAGATGAGAGAGATAAGCTGGACCTTTTTAGACACATGAACTACATATGGCTTTGTAATGTTAGTGAGACACATAAATCTTGTCAGTAGCTTTGTTTAGTTTGTAAAATGTTCGTGCTCCAATGACGATGACATGTAATCTATATATTGTATGCATACGGTTGGCCAACATTGGTGGTTCTAAGTATCTCATATTTAGTTTCTAAGAAGCTTACAATCGCGAAAACAAGATTCATTACTAAAAAAACGATTTGTAGCAACGTCATCATTTCTTTGTAGGGGCGGCTCTATATTGAGCAGTCCCTACAAATGGTTGTCAAATGAGCCGCCCTTACAAATGGATTTGTAGGGATGGCCGGTGTTATCAGCCGTCCCTACAAATGGCCCGATTTGTAGGGGCGGCTCTATATCCAGCCGCCCCTACAAATCGGATTTGTAGGGGCGGCTCAATATTGAAGTGCCCCTACAAATAGACGCCGAGTATTAAAAATTAAGCACTAAAATTTAAATTTTATAAACGACCTCGGATGGAGAAACAACCAAAATAAAAGTTGTGGATCTCGAAAAGTTATGAAACTTTGTAGTTGACAACTTTTTGATTTGAAATCATCTTGTCAAGGAAAACTATGTTTGAATTTTCAAAATTTTAAAATTTGAATTTTTTAAACGACCTCGGATGGACAAACAGTAAAAATGAAAGTTGTAGATCTTGAAAAGTTATGAAACTTTGTAGTTGACAACTTTTTGATTTGAAATCATCTTGTCAAGGAAAACTATGTTTGAATTTTCAAAAATTTGAAATTTGAATTTTTTAAACGACCTCGGATGGACAAACAGTAAAAATGAAAGTTGTAGATCTTGAAAAGTTATGAAACTTTGTAGTTGATAACTTTCTCATTTGAAATCATCCTGTCATGGAAAACTACGTTCGAATTTCTCAAATTTGAAATTCAAATTTTATAAGTGACCTCGGATGGAGAAACTACCAAAATAAAAGTGGTAGATCTCGAAAAGTTATAAAACTTTGTAGTTGACAACTTTTTCATTTGAATTAGTTTAGGGCCTCAAATAATCAATTTATGCTCAATTTTGTATAATATGTGGAGAACCAAAATGGAATATAGACACAAGTGATCGTGAGGTGTAGTGGTAGATGAGTTTACGTGCGAGCGAAAAATCATGAAAAAATGTTGCGACGATGGAAATTGATTTGTAGGGGCGGTTCAATATCTAGCTGCCCTTACAAATCGATTTGTAAGGGCAGCTGATAACACCAGCCTTTGTAGGGGCGGTCTGGGAACCGCATCTACAAATCAGCGATTTATAGCCACCCTTTCGTAGGGGCGGCTAACAAAACCGCCTTTACAAAGAGTTACGAGCCGCCCCTAAAAATCGTTTTTTACGTAGTGATTCAAACATAATGGTGGGAACAAAAGATTATTTCAAATATGAAAACCATCAACAAAGATATTAGAATTAGGCAACCACATATCTTAACATTAACAGAGACGGAGAGACGTATACATTTGGCAATGTACTCCGCATGACTTAGTCATATACATAAAAACAAAGGAGTATGCATTTGACATTAGCAAGGAATAAAGTTGGATTTGCATATAAATAGCATTTCTCTTGATAGTTTCCTTCTTCCAACTTGATCAATACTAATGCATAGTGATTTTATAAGTCTTTGTCCATACAATCAAAGCAATATTGACATCATCTTATATCCATTATATATCTTGAAATTTCTTCACTCTTGCATTCTTGACTCATTCTTCGATATTTGATCCATACCAATTAACTTATCAATATCTTCTTGTCCATGCAAAGCAAAGCCACTATTGAGATCAAACTATATTCTTCTCTTTCTCTCTTTGCCTTATCAATCATGCTTGCTTCTTCTTCATGTAGTTCATGACTTGAGTTGGATATGCTCACTAGCAATGGAACCTATTCAAGCACTCACCAAACTAATTCGTTCTTTAATTGTTTTGTCATCTAACCACCAAAACCCTCTAGGGGACTTGGATGCACTTTCAAAAGTAATTTTTGAAGCAACTGCACAATCACCACACGGTGCTTCCATAAAGCCACAAACTCTAAGTCGTCTAGAAGTCAGCAAGCTCCAAGAGTGACAAGCAAACCCGCTTGCAAATCAACTATGTAATGCCACTCAATCGATCTCTCCACTGTCCAAATGTTGCACTCTTGCAGAGTAGAAATAGAGCTCTCACCAACTATACAACTTTTCCAAGTGGCCAAGAGAAGCTCCACAGCCGACCACTCCTCTATATATAGAGAGTACCAAAACTAGTCGTTATCCCTCTCTTCTTCCCACGAGATGCAGACCTGATGGTCCAACCGGCCCCAAGGCAGAGTCTGACTGGCCATCTCCCAAAGGTAAGAAAACGGGTAGCTAAAAGATTCTCACAAAAGTTTGGTGTACCATTGGAGAATTTTGGCGCTCATAAGCCTCAGACACATGCAAAACATCCTTGTCTGGAGTGACACTCCAGTGCATCACCAGAGAGTAAACGTGCTTACATACAAAGAAAACTCGTTCTGAACAGGGCTGGCGGCCAAACCATGCCTTAAAGGAGGTGCAGACCTCAGGCCAAGCTCTAGCGTTCCGGTGACCCAAAATCGCCAACGCCAGTCAAGCTTTATAAAAACTATAGAAATAGGTTTTCAAAGAAAATCCAAATATTTTTTTTGAATATGCATTTAAAAATACGTAGAGAAAATTGAAACAAGTTTCCTATTGTTCCTAAAATTATGCTCTACCTTTTTTCCCTTACTTAGAATTGTCTGAATCTTACATGGTCTCATAAAATCTGACGTTGGGCCAAGTATAAAATGGAGGATGCAAACCAAGACAAACCCATGTATAGCGCAACATGGATTACCATGCAACCCACCGTGCAAACAGCAAAAAAAAAAAAAAAGTTTCCTCAGGAGCAATTTCTTGCTTAACCATCAAGACATGGGCGGTAAATTTCCAAAAAAAATAAAATTTAAGATCTAATTGTATATTTAATAACACGCATCATGTGGTTTAACTTCCTAGATGAGACATCATAGTGATGACATATGAAGACTCATTAGATCATCAGTGGTGGCCGACATGCGACTTCTCAAACTTCTGAACCGACGTGTGCGACTTAGCCCTGGATGGACACAACTGATTCCTCATTCGTCGTTACCATAGGTCTACATACACACACACACACACAAGGAGCATATGATCGTGCAAGGTTTGTTTGAACACAGTGTGTGTGTGAGGGGGGGTTGGGGGGGGGCAGACATGGGCCATTTCTAACCAATCAAGCCCACTGGGTGCGTGCGACGAAGTGGTTAGGCGATGCCCGGTCCAGGTCCAGCCGTCGTCCATGGGAGCAGAGCAGCCTCCCTCGCACGTGCTTCCCCTCGTCCTTCCCCGTCGACTCATTCCAACCACGCCCGCGTCTCGTCTTGTCTCACTCCCACGCGCCTCGTCGTCCTCCGACGCCACTGTCGCCGCTGCCGATGCCTCGTAAGGCCTCGTCGACCTCAGGTCCGTGCGTCCAGCCCCCCTCTCAGAACCTTTTAAACTCTCTAGCGCCAGACCTAATGATGGGGATGTGATTCCCGATCTTCCGTCAGATTCAAGATAACTATCGATTTTGTGGAGAGCGACACACCAATTCGGCTTCAGATCACAAAGACATGAACCCTGCAACCTTAGCACCACGTCTCCTCTGGTTATCAACCGTGTCACAATCCAATTGACCTCGCTAAGAAGGCTAATCCCTGCTACGAATCGAAGAACACAAGCAAGAACAAGTTAAAACATGACTCAATTGAAGTGACAATTGCAGATGAATGATTAAGCACTCGAAATTGGTGTCTTGCAAACCGATAACGGCGACTGTTCAATGACAGATTGATCTAAAACAAAACCCAAACCCTAATGTAGGCGGCAGCTACTGATTATATAGCCTAAGGGGGTCCAAGGACTCCTCTTCACGTCCTACAGGTGTCACAACACGTTACAAGGCCCAAACGGCCTAAAAGACGGCGACGCAGCGCCCTAACAGATTCTGGATGTCAACTTGTTTTGATGATTCCCGTTGACTCCGATGGAATTTAGGCCTCAAACCAAAGTCATTGGTTATCTTATGAAATTATATTTCCATCCATATATGGATCATCGAAAATGGAGTCTGTATGCGACCTGGACGTCCAATTTACTACACACTGCTCCTAGAGCCCGAGATGGACTCGAACTTGACTTGGATTGGGCCTCCAACTTGGCTTGGTCGCCCTTGCTTGCCTCCTAAGGTGGTGGCCAAGGAGGAGGACGTCCTTGGACATCTCTTAGGTGTTCTCCATCTTCTTGGGGCGTGTTCCAACTTGGGCCTGGGTACCAAGTGTGAATAACAAGCCCGCGACGTCGTTGTTGCACCCGACAGAAACAGCGGCAAAATGTCTCGATGAATTGAAGACCTTGCCGACATGATATTGAGATGGGGACCAGATTTATTTGAAAGCTTATCAAATAATCTTTCCATCAAGTGCTCAATGACCTCAATCGCACTCCAGATGAATGAGTAACGACCTTCGCAATGAAGCATTATCGGGCTGCCAATGAACTGAAACTTTGATGGACTTGCACTTTGAGACATACTTGTACCTACAAGCAAATAATGACATGTACATGTGGAACCAAGTGAATTGTACCAAAAATCACTATGTAAATGTAGGAATGAGACCACCTTATAATCAATGGTCATATCCGAAGGTGTCATGTCCTCATCACCTAATGCTTCCCTCCGCCTTGGTAACCCTAACTCCCCAGATTCGAGCCTGAAATGGCGCAAGCGGAAGCGCAACCCCGACACGTCCCCGTCCAAGCCCTCCACGGTGGCGGCCGACCACTCCTCCAACTCTGACTCCGCCGACGAGGCCGCCGCCGCCATCCACGGCGTGGCGGGGGATGGGGCAGCCGGCGACGACGACGATGCTCCCGCGGCGTCCAAAGACACCGCGCTCGCCCTCCATGAGGCCGAGGTGCTGCCCTCGGCCGAGGCCATCTCTGTGTTCCCCGCCACCAAGCGCCGCGTGGTCAACCGGCCGCATCCGTCCGTCCTCGCGCTGCTCGAGGCCGAGCGATCCGCTTCTTTCGGCGATGTCCCGACCGTGGCACCGCCGGCGCTAGAGAACATCTCGCACGGGCAGCTGCAGGTGCTGTCCGGGGTGCTTCCGGACCACCCGTCCCTTGCTACAGACCCCGACAAGCCGTCATTGTATGTGTGCACGCCGCCTGCCCTCATGGAGGGGGTGGCACGGGTTTTTTGCCCTTAAGGGCATGTGCTCTTAGCAAATGGACCATTGGATTCGCATTGAGAAGTGTGCGCGCACACATCTCAGTGCAGATTCGCACTGAGATGTGTGCGTGCACACTTCTCAATGCGAATCCAATGGTCCATGTGCTTAGAACACATGCCCTAAGGGCACATTTTACTTTCCCGGGGTGCCCAAGCAGTTCCAGGTAGCTCCATGTGGTTCCCACGCACTAAGGTTCGCTCTCGGCATAAACATGGATCACTGAGCTGTGCTGGAAAAATGTGCTAATTTAAGTAACCTATGCATTTTGCTTTGTAATTTGTAGTTTGGTTCTCCCCGGGGACAGTTCATAGGCTGGAAAGGCAGGTAGTGCCACATTTCTTTACAGGCAAGTCTCCAGGGCACACTCTGGAGAAGTATGTCATGTTAAGGAATAAAGTCATTGCCAAATACTTAGAGAACCCAACCAAGAGGCTTGCTTTTGCTGAGTGCCAGGGGCTTGTTGGGAGCACAGCTGAACTGTATGATCTGAGTAGGATTGTTAGGTTCTTGGACACTTGGGGCATCATCAATTACCTCGCGGCTGGGTCTGTGCACCGTGGCCTGAGGATGGCAACTTCGCTTCTAAGAGAGGAACCTACAGGGGAACTGCAGTTGCTTACAGCGCCATTGAAATCAATCGATGGTCTAATTTTGTTTGACCGGCCAAAATGCAGCCTCCCAGCGGAGGACATTTCTTCTATGGCAGCGTCTTCGTCTAACTCGGAGGCTGTGGATTTTGATGCTGCATTTGCAGACTTGGATGCAAAGATCAGGGAGCGTTTGTCTGAGAGCTCTTGCAGTTATTGCTTACAGCCTTTGCCAAGTTTACATTACCGGTCACAAAAGGAGGTGCGCTTCTTTGTAACATCCATTTTACATGTTTTATGTTAAATGTTTTGTGTAGAGAATCTGTATCTGTATTTTGGAAGTTGCACTTCCATTTCACTCCTGCTAAAAAATAGGACCCTCAATTCCTCCAAGGTTTTGATTCTACATTGCAGTTATTGCTTCAGGGCCCTATAAAGCAAACAGACCCTTAGTTACAAATATTATTATGTGTCCAATTTTGATGCGAGACTATCCGCTTTTGCTGTGCAGTGTAACTCTTTGAACTCCATTGGGTTTGTACCCATTTGGATGTATTATCGCGTGATTTCTCTGTTTTTATTTTGTGAGACAAACGTTAGCAATAACAAGTGTGTTTTAACTGGTTGAGCAGGCAGATATTTTTCTATGTTCTGATTGCTTCCATGATGCGAAACCCTATGTTACTTATAACTGGAAACAGACAAAAGTGGAATACGGAAGCTCCAACGAGAGGATAAAACAAACTTCTCCTTCACCTTCTCCTAGCAATTTTTTTGACCCGGATCGAAACCTCCCAGTCCTTAGAAATCTATGATGTTCAGAAACTATCAAGAATAGGGTTTTCATGTGATTTTTCGATGACAAAATGCCTGGCATTACAGAAGGTGCATCAGTACACATTTTCTATGACAAACTGAGTGAAACGTCTGTCAATGACGATTGCATTTCTGATTAAAAACGTTACAACATGTTGAATCGGGTGCTTCCACTTGGAAGATGGAGTGGTATAGCTGAAGTTATGATTATGCAGTTCGCTAGGATTAAATTTATCAATTACTCCACTTATTCCAAACTATAAGTCATTTTTGTTTTTTCTAGATACATGATTTTTGCTAGGTGAGTCGAGCCTCATCCATTATTAAGAAATTTGAGGGATGAGAGAGGGCTCTGGCGACTCTGGGGCGACTCGCCCGACGGCGTCTCACCGGGGCTGCGGGCTCTGTTTGCCGTCCGGCGATCCTATCCCAGTATCTCCGTATCGGGTGAGAGGGTCTCCGCTTCGGCCCAAGGTTGGACCCGTGAGGAGGAGGGGCAGCTCCGTCAATGATAGCGAGAGGGGTCCCAATGGCGGGACACGCGGCACCAGGAAGACGGGGCAGGTGTCACAATCTGGGAGAGGTAAATGGTGCCAACGGCTTGGATCTTGGAGCTCTGGTGGATGAGGAAGGAGAAGTAGAGGATCTCTTCGGCCAGCTTTGGTTCATCCCTTCAGCTTCCCCTTCCCCGTGCGGCCGGGCTAGGGTTTGCCAGAAGGAAAACCTTGTCTGGATCCGTAAGCAGCTATGGGATTCCAAGCTTTTTGAGCCAAGTGATTGTCATCCGGTTGGAGTAGGTGATCTCTGGGTGTCTCCTCCGAAGAAGTTTTGCTTTGCCTCAGATATCTGGGGGAAGGGCGTGAAGGACTCGTTCGTGTCGAAGCTAAAGTTCGGGATGGCTGGCCATGGTAGAGGTGGAAGAGGTCCGCAGAGGCCGAGGAATCCTGAGGAAGAGTGGGGCTGGGGTGAGGGAGGTTCGGTCTGGAATCCACCTCCTTACTACCAGCCACCGATGGGGCCTCCACCGTCAGGTCCACCAATGGGACCTCCGATGGGGCCGTATCCTCCACCACCACCAGGTCCGTTAGGGTTCTTCCCAAGTCAGGGGCAGCAATCTAGACAGAATCAGTTTAATGCTGTTGGGCAGAGAGGTCAGGGTTCTCGTTCTGGTACTAGAGGTGTTGCTGGTAATTGGGGGTTGAGTTCAGCAGGCCAGCAACACGGTCGTCAGCAACCTCAACAACCTAAACAGCCACAGCCACAACACCAATCCAAAGCTTTGGAACAACAACCAGTTTCTCAAGAACAGAATTCCTCTGCTCATCAAGTGGTGGATCACGTTGTTGTTCAGGTGATAGAAGGAGAAAAGTCTAGAACTAATAGGGCGTCTCAAGTGGTCTGTTACAATTGTGGGAAATTAGGACACTTTGTTTCCACTTGTTCCAAACCCAAAGTTTGTTTTGTGTGTTTTCGCCAAGATCACATTGCTGAAAAGGGCCCCAGGTGGAGTGAGCCTGAACAAGTGGTGCAGTTTATGGGCAGCTCTTGCAAGGGCCTGGGTTTCTTCCATGTGGATGTTTCTCCAGATGTTGATAGGTTTAAGCTGTGGGATGGTTTTGAGAACTGTGGAGTTTTCACAATAGAAGAAGGTGAGATGGATCAGGAGACTATTCTGAGGAATCTTAGGGATTTATTTGATGCAGACTGGTCTTGGCAGTTAAGGAGTATGAATGAGTTCTGTTATCTGGTGAGATTTCCTCCTGGATAGAGAGTTGACAGGATTGTGATCAATAAGATTTCATATTTCTACTTGGAGAAGGGTACAGTGATGGCTTCTTTAAAGGTGTGGAATGGAAATATTGAGCCAGTGAGTAGCTTGACTGAGGTTTGGGTGCCAGTCAGGGGTGTACCTCCTAAATGGTGTGATTGGGTCACCTTTAGGCAAGTGGCTTCTACTATTGGGAAATTAGTGGAGGTAGACTGGCAATCTCTATTTGCTAGTTTCTTTGCCATGGTGAGGGTTAAAGTAAAATGCAGGAATCCAGTCAAGATTCCCTAGAAGAGAGTCATGGAAATGCAGGATGAGCTCTTTGTGATCAGTTTTAAGACAGAAGGCTTTGAGCAGTTATCTGACAAGTCTGGGAAAGATGGAGATGATGGTGGAGATGGAGGTGACGGTGATACTGATCTGGATGAGGATGACCTGCTATCAGATGAAGAGAAGAAGAAGGAGGGTGGTCCTACCAGTCCTAAATATGACAAGGCTTCTGATTCTACTAACCAAGGGAAGGAAGTAGATGAGTCTCGGGATAAGCAACCTAAGAAGTCTATGCTGAGTGGAAGTAAGACAGTAAGGGATCTCAGCCAGCTCTTTGCTATGGAAATGCTAGATAATGATGGTAATAGAGAGGTGATGGAATCTTCATGCATCAGTCTCCTTAAGGCTATGGAAATTGGGGACAGAGAGGAAGCTTGGGTAGAGGATGGTGGTGAAACTGTTGAACCAGAAGAAGAGAGTCTAAATTTGCCTGCTGAGTGGCTCTATGGGTACGCTGATAGTAGGGATCAGCCAGATCAGTCTTTAATGAATCAAATGGGTACGGAGGGTAATGTTGATAGTTCTGATGTTCCACATATTGATATTGTCTTGGGAGCTGTGAATCAAGGAAGAGATGGTGTGATGGCTAAGTCAAAACCAAGGAATAGGGGATGGGGTCCTGTGCAACTAGAAAGGAAGAGTAAACGAGTTCCTCTGAATGGGATGAATATGCTGGAAAAAGCTCAAGCTTTAAAAAAGAAGAACAACCTGGAATTTGAGAAAGGTAAAAAAGTGCCAAAACAAATTTCTTCTTATTCTCTGTTAGATATAGCTGCTAGTCTTGATCTGAATGTTCCAGTTGAGGAACTGTCTAAGCAAAAAGTAGTTGATCAAGTTCTGGAATTAGAGATAGAAAGGAATAATAGTTTTAATGCAGCTTGTAGCAAGGTAGATTGCCCTGTTAAAGTATATTCAAAAGGTATGATGACTTCTGATGGAAGTCAACAGAGAAATGATTATGATCATGTAGGTTGTAGTCATTATGTAGGAAATGGAAAAAATTCTGTTGACAGTAGGACTGTTGGTTCTAGTTGTTACAGTTCTTCTGGAAAAGATGCTAGGGATTTAGATCCCACAACTCCTGATGGGGAGTTTTATGTAGATAAAGACTTGAATATTTTAGAGGCTCGGATTGAAAAAGCCTGGTCTAAAGTAGTTCATAGGAAGAAAAGCAAGAAGAACAAATGATAGGTCTCTTCTGAAATATACGAGGTTTGGGCAAAATAGGAAGATTACCTGCTTTAGTTAATAAGATTAGGAGCACAAGAGCTGATTTTTAGGTATCATGGAAACTAAGAAGGAGTCTTTTACTCCTGGCTATCTTAGATCTCTTTCTGGTAATATGCCTTTTGAGTGGTTTTATCTTCCTGCTAATAAGTCTGCTGGTGGCATCCTGGTTGGAAGTAATAGTGATAAGTTTTCGGCTACTTTAATTTCTACTTTAGATTTCTCTATTAGTATTATGTTGCAGGATAAAAAGACAGGTTTTAGCTGGAAATTAGTAGTAGTTTATGGTTCTCCTTATGATGAGGGGAAGGAGTCCTTCTTAAAGGAATTACATTCTATTATGGAGTCCTGGCAGGGACCTGTTATCCTAGGTGGTGATTTTAATCTGATTAGATTCGCTTCTGACAAAAATAATGCTAGGATTAATTATAGATGGGTTGATGCTTTTAATGCTTGGGTGCATAAGTGGGCTGCATCTAATAGAAAATACACTTGGTCTAATAACCAAGATAATTTTTGTCTCGACTGAATGGGACAGTGGCTTTCCTTTAGCTTCTGTTAAATGCCTAGACAGATTTCCTAGTGATCATAACCCGCTGGTCTTGGATACTGGTTCTAATGTTTTCTTTGCCAAGAAACGTTTTAGATTCGAAAAGTGGTGGCTTTACCAGGATGGTTTTTCTGATACTGTCAAGAAAGCCTGGAATACTCCTTGTCTTTTATCTAATAGTTTAGATAGATGGCAATTTAAAATTAGGACTCTTCGTAGGTTTGTTAGGGGTTGGGCTTTGAATGAAGTAGCTAGGCTGAATAAATATAAAAATGAGCTTGCTTTTGAGTATAATGACTAGGAAGCCAAGTTAGATGCTAGGATTTTATCTGAGATGGAGAGGGTTAGAATGGACTTTGTTTCTAAGGAATTAGAGAAGATTTGGGCTTTAGAAGAGATTAAGGCAAGGCAGAGATCTAGAGATAGAAATATCCTAGAAGGGGATAGGAATACAGCATATTTTCATGCTCTAGCTAATCAGAGAAGTAGAAAGAAGAGGATAGAGGTTCTGGAAGGCCCTAATGGTTTAATTGAGGACCAGAAGGGGATGATGGACGTTGCTTTAAATTTCTATAAACATTTATTTAGAAGAGAGGACAGACCCCCTATCTCT